CTCCAGGTGCTGGCCCTCATCAGTCAGACCAGTGGATCGCAAATCTGATTCTGAAAATTAAGTCAATTGTAAGCAATTGATGCCAAATATAAGCGCATTATTTGTTTGAAATACTGGACAGAGTCTGAAGGGCCAGCTCTGCGTCCTCGCGATTGAAGTAGTGAACGAACGCATAGTTCTTGAGTTTCTTCACTTTCTGGACGTTTATTTTCGGCGGACTTTTCAACGCAAATATGTTTTTAATCATATCTTCAGTGCAATCGGCGCTCAAATGCCGCACAAACAGAACCTGAACCTGAAGTGAACATCACATACATCATGAGAATCTATATTTTATGCGTTAAAGCTCTGCTTTTTCAGTAATCTTATAAAGCTTTCATATTTCCAAAAGCAACACAAAAGCATAAAAATTACTCAAAATAGCTTTCGTTTGGATTCATATATTTGTCAAATCTATGGTTACCTTAGACATGATCTCATCGTCGAGATTAGGCTCCGGGACAGCCCAGTCGACGCTTATCTCACAATCAAAAAGTTTGATTTTGCCTGAAATACTCATAAAATGATTAGTAACTCAAAACTACCGGAAACGAGAGTCTGTGTAATACCCGGCAATAACTTTCTTCGAGCCATTGCGGCATCACTTGTGATGTCAATAAAAGCAAACAGTCATTAAAGAAGTGGTCAGTTATGAGACATTGTGTGAGACATACCGATGAGTCTTGTACTCCACGAAAGCAAAGCCGCGATTTCTGTACTGTTTATCGAGTTTATTGTAATTGTTGTAAACGATTGCATTCACCACTCCTTCTGTCTCGTTGGAGAGCTCTTCGATGACATCCATTCGGGTTCTGTTGAGAGGGATATTACCGATGAATAGGCGACAGTTGTCGAGACTCTTGACGACTCCGATGCGTTTGTTGGCTCTGATCTCACAGTTGTTCAGCTCTTTGATGGCTTTGTTGGCATCGGTTTGGTTGGTATACGTGGCGAACGCGTAGCCTCTGTTGGTTCCGCTGAAGTCCATCATAAGCCGCAACTGATAGATGGGTCCGATTTGGGTGAGGAGTGGCACCAACTCATCCTCATAGCAGTCGCGTGGGATTTTGCCCACAAAGACCTCACATCCCTTCTGAGGCGGCGGTCGACTCTGTGGCCAATCGGGCGGCGGACCGAACACTCTCTGGCCGTTCTCCTGCACGATGTTATACCCGCTCTTCTCTATCAGATCCAACAGCTTCTGCTCTTTGCTTACAGAAGACATCCTCCGGAGTCACACCAATTGATTCGCTTTCAACAGGTCTTGCCTTTCAATCACTTGTCCTCCTATTCACTCGATTCTTGCCGTCAAAGCAATTATCTGCTCACAAATGAGTGCTCTTTGGATGAGATAATGAGATAATGTGTGAAGTGATGATTGAATGATGGATCCAATGATTGATGTGTTGGTGGTGTAAGTGAGGGGTGAGTGGAGTGTCGACTGTTTGTAGGGAACACTGAATCACAACTCCCTTACAGTTCGCCACTAAAGGCACGGATTCCGCACTCAATCACTCAACACGCGATTCATAGGCTGTGGGCTTCACTGCACCACTAATATAGGCATTCATTCACTTCAACGCAAACTTTTAATTGTAATCTAATGGCTATTATTCACATTATTTGAATACAGTTTACTTAAAACTCAGTCATTTAATAGTTATTTAAGTAGAAAAATAATTATAAGAAATAGCTTCTCGTATATACAAAACGAAATGAAAACTTTTTTTAATGAAATACAATAGTTTTTATTTCAAACGATAATGTATTACATTATGTGATTTAAATGTGAATGACTCACTAATAAACTAATTTTATTAAATGCATTAAATATAATGATTAAAATATTGATAAATATAGAGGCGTTATATTACATTCATTAATGATTTACAAATATGTATTGAATAACTGATATAAATAGACAATTGATTTCTATTACATTGTTTTGTCTGAAATAAATTGTTTGATTAAACTGTAATCATCAAAACATTAGTACTGTATTTACGGTTAAAATCTAATTTATAATTTCCTTTTCTCTGTCCATTCATTTGCATTGCTTTAGTTTATGAATTTAGACTTATGTGCTAGGTTACATTCTATACTAGTAATATGGTTGACTTTCAAGTTGAAACTAGTCAAATTGAAAGCACTAAAATAAATTTATAATAGAACACTTCCAAAATGGATCTTGGATACATTTTACTGTAAAACTATATCCAGTCTAATTATTACTGTTAAATAGCATTTTAAAATTTAAAATTTAAATTTAAAATAACTTTTTGGCGATTCCGGAGCCAAATACATGATGAATGTCAGCGACGGACAGTTGGGTTTTTCGGCCACTTTTACATCGAGTGAATTTGAATGGATTGTTATGTCGAGAGGTCGTGCCCTCAACTATAGTTCATATTCCGTGCGGACAAGTGTGGACCAAATGGATGCATATTCCGTGTCTTATAAATTATAAGTTATAACGAACTAACAATTTGTTATAAAAAATTATGGTTAATAAACACTTATTACTACAGTAACCGGTAATTAGACACAAAGAGATGTGCACTAAATGTGTGTTTAATGTGTGTTCAAAATTGACTGACTCTGGATGTGGCCCAAAGGGGTATAGAATCTAACTATAGATATGGCAGTATTCATTTATATCACATTATTTTACACTATTTTGTGAGTTATTATCACTCATTAAATTCGACGAATGGCCGGACACTTCTTCGGGAGACCATAAGATTGTCCGCATATTCTACATGTTATTCCCTATTTAATTGCTTAAAACTCTGATTATCGATAAGCCAAATGTGAGAATACTTAGTAATACACTACTAACTACTAATAAACTCTTACTAAACAACCATTTTCAAATGACAAATCTTTCATTTATTCATTTACAAGTCATTCAATAGGGAATAACATGTAGAATATGCGGACAATCTTATGGTCTCCCGAAGAAGTGTCCGGCCATTCGTCGAATTTAATGAGTGATAATAACTCACAAAATAGTGTAGAATAATGTGATATAAATGAATACTGCCATATCTATAGTTAGATTCTATAGATACTATAGATTCTTGAGTACAGTATTACTTGTGAGAGATATAGAGTATAATTATTAATTATGCTTATTATTATAGTGTAATTTAGGTGATAATGAGTGGACCACTATAACCATGACATGAGGATTATAATAAATCTACAATATTGTGTCCAAAATCATGTTAGACTTACTTAATCTGAGAATATGATGTGCGTAAAAAGTTTAAAACAATTATGAAAAGTTTGTTTATTCGGTATTTACATTAATTACCAAGATAAACTAGGTTTGCGTGTCTCAGAAATCTCTATGTATTATTACCACTATTATACTGTACCAATATTGCAATGATTTTTGAGATTATGGTAAAGGAATACCAAAATATACAGAACAAAAGTATCTAGACAAAATTATTAGATGAATATGTTATTGCTATTTGAAAACTAAACGCAACATAGACCCAGAATATTTTATACTTCTCAGCAGTCATATAAGTAAATACAGTATGAGCTCAAAATGGGGTTATAAAAGGTTT